CCGGGGCGGTGAGGAGGGTGTGGGTGCTGGCGGGAGAGAGGGGTCTTACTGCGGCAAACCGACTTGCATTTTGAGAGCTTTGAAATATGGATTTGCATCAAAGTAAAACTCTCAGGGTTAGTTAAATATTCCTCTAAATATGCAAAGGAATTGAGTTACTGAAGCTTGTTATTCTTATCTTACTCTCGGTGTCACAACATCTTTAAGTTCAGTGAAGGTTTCACTTACTAAGACGGTTGTAAAGATTTCACGTTAATTAAGAGGACTCCACTGCAAATCTGAATATGAATGAAGTTCAGCCGCTGAACCCAGGGCAGTGAATACTGTGGAAAGATCAGACATTGACAAATGTTGATTTAAAAAGTAAAAAAAAAAAAAAAGAAAACCCCAAAAACCCCACAAAAAACCACCTAAAACAATGCTTCAATCTAATACCTGTTCTGTGAGAGAGAAGAAGTTGAATTCAAGTTGCCAGAAGGAAAAAATAGATTCTGACTTGAATTTACAGTCAAAGGGGTGAAATTCTGTCCATCGGGAGCGCTGATGAGGGTGATCCTGTGCCGCCCATTCCCCGGGGACTCAGCCGCATCTCTCCGTTGCACGGTCTCCCTCTCCTTAGGCAGTCGATCGTTTTAACGTGGGGGGATCTTCAGTGGGAAAAGGGAGAAAATCTGGGCCTGATTCTGATCCCAGTTTTGTTGCTTTGGAGAAGTACCGTCAAGTCCAGTCAGCCTTGACTGGTGGTCATACCCAACGGGGACGGTGAGGGTGGTGGTCGGTGGCTGGGGAGCAAGGCCTTCAAGGAAGGAGTTCTTGTGATGAAGAAGTGTTTTGAGCGAAGGAGACTAGACATATTTTTCCCCCCAAACTGCTTTTTGGGGGAGTTTTTCATCCCTGCCAGCGCTTGGAAGAGGAGAGCAGTAGCTGGTAGCTAGGGCGAGCAGTTGTCACTCGGGATATCGGTGTTTCTCTTCCAACTCCAACGCAGGGCTGCTGTTGTCTGACCTGGGGCGAGTCCCCTCCTCTTCGTGTCTCCACTCACCCGTCTGGAGATAACGAGGCTTACCTGCTTTTGCAGAGCAGTTTTGGGCGATGCAAAGGGTGCTGCGGAGGTGCAGGGCACCGCTCCACCTTCTAAAGAAGGACTTTGGGGAAGGAAACGGTGATATATAACATTTTCACTTTGCTGAAATACATTGGGCTTGGCTTTTGGAGTGGAAAAGTGAAAATACGATAGCCTAAATAAATAGCATTTGTCGTCTTAAGCAGGGTAAGGGCAGCATGTGAGGTTGTGTGGGGGTTTTTTATTGTTGTTATTTTTTATTCATGGTTCCATGAGCTGATTCTGGGAATTGTACTGACTGTGGTTATGTTTCTGGAAATGTGCAGGTTGGCCAGATGCAGTGGGGCATGGAGTGAACAGAAAGAGGTTAAATTGATGGATGACCAACAAGAGCAGGATTGTGCCTCAGAAGACCAAGAAACTATCCTGATTAATGGGGTGAAAGAAAATGGTAAGGAACTTAATTACAGTACATGAGGGAGCAGCGACAACTTGCAAACCAACTTATTTTCGTAATTCCTTTTGTGTATTTAATTTTAGCGGTTTGCAGGTATCTCTGCAATGTGGAGCAGTAGGGTAAATGGGTATTTTCTGCACAGATGTCACTCCAGCTATGAATCTACACCTTTTTAGGTCTTAACAAGTACTGCTTTTGCCCATGCATATGCATGGGTGGAAATGTTTATGTGCACATGCAGTTTGAATTATGGATTTTAGTTTGGTTTCTTAGGGAAAAAAAGGCATAAAAGACTATGGAGCCCCTCTGTCTGTTGGGAATCTTTCCCTCTCTTCGCAATTACTTATGAAGCCACTAGCCAATCTCAGCAAAATTTGGCTGAAGGATACTTAGTCCCTACAAACTGGACAAAAACCAGAGATCGGGTGGAAGAAACAAACCCGGATTAGCACCCGTGGAAAGGGCAGGTTGGACTTGTGAGCTCGTGATTGCCTTTTCTGCGTGGCCCGTCAGCCAGCACGTGGGAGCCCCTAGCCCATACCCCGCTTCCGCGCATGCCGCAGTCATGCTGCTGGGAGCCACTAAGTCATTCCAGCTTCCATCGACATCGGCGGGGACGGATCAGCCCCTTCCAGCAGCCTGCCCGAAATACCTAACTTTGTCTGTATCTATTTAACCGATCCCATGCTTGCTTTCAAAAGCAATAACTCTTTAGGAGTAACAGCGCTCTGCTGCCTGAAAACCTGATTGAAATAAATATTCGTCTGAGCATTTTCTCAAGTCATTTGGACTTTAGTTGCTAGCCACAGTAAATGCAGTGGCAGTCCAGCGTTGAGGCAGAGCTTGACATTTTGAGTCTTCACCACGTTTTTATTTTTAATTTCATGGCTTTTTACATTTTGTATTGGCCTATAAATCTTGATATATATATATATTTATATAAATTTGACCCTGTTAGATAGCGAGGACTTGGTCCTCTGATGTTCAAATGATGTTCAAATCCTTCTGTCTCCTCAAAATGAGGTTTAGTCTAGCAAGAGTGCGTCGAGTCAAATGTTGTTCTTGTTCATTACCAAAAACCTGGAGTGACTCCAGACACGCGGGTGCCCGTGAGGACCCCGCAACATGTGCTGGTGGCAGGTGAAGCGTACGCTTGCGCTCGCCCCTACGATGTAATTTGGGAGGAATCTGTCTTTGTCAGCCCATCTCCTTCATGACTACACACGGTGAGGCCGCAGCTGATGACAGCTGCTGGAGCTGCAAGGAGATTTTCTAGCCGTGGTCCCCTTGTCTGACCTGATAGGCGGTAAAATCAGTGCTTACCTGCTCAGTAAAGGTGGGTGATTTCTAGAACCTGATGCCGCTTCCATGAAACTCAATTAAACGGGGCTTAAAAAGCGCTTCCGTTAAACATCGTTGTGTAGGAGTTGCTGCTGAATCCAAAGCGGTGAGCCAGCAAGTAGCTCTGATGCCACCACCTCCCCGCTGATGGCACTGGCAGGGGGCTGATGCTTTTTGCCTCCTCTCACCCTACCTGTAACGGGTGCTGGCCGCAGCGAACCCCGAGCAAGCAGCCCGGGGGCTGCTGCAGTGCCCGGTTAGGGACCGGCCTCCCTTCGGAGCCGGTTCACAGCAGGATGGTTCAGTATTTTTCCGCTCAGGCTGCCCATGTGCTTTTGGGCGGCTGTTGAGTTAAACCGGGAAAGGCGCGTTTGCTTCTCCAGCGTTTTCTTTTTTAACCGTAGTCTTTTGGAGTATTGGTTACTTCAGAGCATCAATTGAACATGAGCCTGATTTTAGGATGATACAAGCCCTAGGAAATCAAGTTTTGGAATTTGCATTTCACAGGAGTTAAGTTCACTTATACAAGTATAAACCTAAAGAAACACTCAGAGAGAGTTTATTTTATATAATAGCATCTCTGTGTAGTGAATGCAGCATTTGAGATTGAATTTCAGCTTTCTACCTCCCCCTTTTTTGAGTCTTACAGCATTCACAAACATTATTCTCTTATCCTCAAATTTTCCGTGCTTCCTGTCAGCTCCAAGCTGATTTTTATTTTACTTCTGAAGTGGAACTGCACTGGTTAATTTGTTTTGGTGCTTAAGGAAAGATACCACCTCTGCATTTCTCATCTAAAAACTGGTGGGAGGGACTCAAAAATCAGCTTTTTTGGTTTGGTGGTTTGGGGTTTTTTAACCCTTTTTGAGGGAAGCAGCACAGATTTCACGCAAGTCAGGCTGGTCTTTTCCAAGCCACGCATGTTGAAGATGTTTCCAGGCAATGCGTTGCGCTTCTGGTTTGATTTATACACTGTGTGGAAAGTTGTGGGAAGTCCCTAGAGCACTGCATGGCTTAAGACTTTACCGATGGCTCTGTCCCTAAGGCACCCAGTAGCACAAAAGTGTTGGGAGCTTTTGGGGTGAGACGAGGGGGATTTTCACCTCCTCTTAGTTTTACGCTTGGCACGGGCAGGCAGCTCTCCATCCCATCCCGCTCCTTGTATCACCCACCTGCAGGTGGGAGCCCCGCTCCTTGCTCTGCTCGGCAGCACCGGCGCGGCGGCACGGCGGGAGTTTCATCGCACCAGTGCTGCGCGTGCCAGCGGGAGCCTTCCCTTACCAGCTGGCGTAGGTTGGCACAGGTGCAGGAGGAGCCTTGCTTTTCTACCAGTTTCAAATAAAAGCACTTGTGGCGGAGGGTCGCAGCAACGTGTAGGTGCCAAATCCCTTCGGATGCCCCATTTCTTGCGACAGCCTGGTGCTCCGGCTGCGTTTTAAAGCGCTTGTCCCTCCTCGGAAAGCCTGCCCTGCTTCCGCTCTCGCCTCCCCAGCCTTCGGTGGAGCCACCAAAAAGGTAAGATGTGAGCCGCTACAAAAGGACCGGGCTCAGCTCTGAGTCGGCAGAGGCTTCCGGCTGGTGTGAATGCACGCATTGGTATATATATATTTTTTTTAATACAGAGATATCAGAGCATGTTCATGGATGAAAAGACATCGTATTTAAATTTCAAGGGTCATATCGTCCGTTGAGCCCCAAGTCAGATAAAAGTATATTCATAACTTTATTCTGCCATAAAAGAGCGCGGCGCGGTAAAAATAAAAAATCCTTAGGTTAAAAAAGAAACCCTTACGTTATTAAAAAGGCATTTTTAGAGATTAGGGAAGAATGGCAAAACCCTCAATAATTCCAACAATAATTGCTTTAAACTCTGTGTTACCTTCTACTTTCCCTTGGCGCGGACAGCGACAAAACGACTACTGGGTTTTTAAAAATAGCTGTAACTTTCTGACTCGCGAGCAGTAATGCAGTTCAGGTATGTTTAAGCTGCAGACACCGCAGGGGGGATACTTTGTTTCTTTAAGAATCTTATTTTTCCATTACTCTTTTTTCAGTGTTAATGGGAACATTTTTATTAGGCTTGTTTTGTTTTGTAATAACCTTGTCAGATTTGAAAGGCAGTATCCAGGTAACGGTATGTATATGAGGAGGAAAGAGCGGATGGGTTTGGTTTTTTAAACGTACTCTTGTACCTCTTCCAGCTGGCTGCAGGGGGGAGGGTGTGTACCTCTCCCTTCCCTGCACATCACCACGTTAATTAGAGCCAGAAGGGAAGGATGGTGCTCCCGCGGGAAGGGAGCTTCCCAAAGGAGCGGCTGGGAAAAGCCCCCACCAAACCCTAGGGAGAAGGGGAGCGGGGTGGCGGGCCCGAGCGGAGCAGCACAGGGTGTAAACCCTCTCTCTTTGTCTTTCTTTTCTCCCTCCCTTTTCCTAAACCCTCCCAGAATCCCACGCCCTGGACGGCGATGAGAGGCCTTGCACCGCCGCCGAGGCCGCGGTCACGTTCTCAGCCTTGACGACAGCTCAGAAGGAAAACCACACGTGCCACCGGGCGCTGCCTCCCCTGACTTCAAAGAAGCCCTGCTTGCTGAGCCCCCCGTCGCCTCTGAGGCTCACGGATGTACCCGAGCACGCCTCGGATGACTCCTCCGCCCACGCCATCTCCCTCACGTCCTGCGTGACGAAGGGCATGAGCTCCTGGTCGCTGCCGGGTGACTGCGAGAAGGCCCCGTTCACCATGATGGAGCCCGGAGGCATGTCGGCGCTGACGGGCGACTGCTTGATGCAGCCGAGCCGGACCTGTCTGGGCTGCTTTATTGAATCAAAGGACGGCATTGATGCAGAGCCGGGAATAAGCTTGAAAGTGGGGGATATAAATAGGGATTATGACACCTGTTCGGTCTCTGATATAGGGATTCACTGCATGAGCACAGGAGAAACCATGAGATATGGGGATCAACTGCTTTCAGACCAGCTTTTAAGCTTCCCTATGCATAAATCGAGGGCAGCGGACAAAAGGGATGCAGAAAAATCTGACAGTGATTCAGAGGACCCCACTCAGAAAAATTATTACGAGGGATTACTATTAGACAAATGCAATGGTGAGGAACCTTTACTAACAAATCCCAACCAGGAATGGGGCTATTTTGAATCTTTCATTAGTGAAAGTAAAATTGAGCTGCTTGACCTCTGCTCCAAAAATGAGCTTTCTGTAAATCTGTTTTCCGAGGAAGACGTGGATAATTACATGTTTGATGACGACGATTCCACCTTGGGAAGCGATGTCTGCTCCCTAAAGATTAGATACGAATCTTTCCAGGACAATGTGCGGGAGAAGACCACCACCCTACAAGAGGACGCCCAGTTCAACTTCTTCCCCAGCGTGTTCGGCAACTGCACCAAAAGGGACAGCAGGAGCACCCTGAAAAGGGGGCCCGGCGGTGCCACCGACCCTGCCCAATTCAAATCCGAGGAAGGCATCATCTGGGGGGAGGAGGAAGAGGATGGCGAGGAAGAGGATGGCGAGGAGGAGGAGAAAGCTGCCTTAAATAAATCTTGCAACAGCACGGAGATGGTGCAGTACGTGGGCTCCAAGAGGAGCCACTTCTTGGACTCGGTGAATTCCACGGAGGACTCCGGGGAGTTCAGCGACGACAGCACTTGCACAGAGTCCTCCTACGACGTGCTGCGGGATATCAAGGACTGCAGCCGGTACCTGTCCCGGGACCACTCTGGCTCCTTCATTCAGCAGAACTACGGGTTGCGGGCGAAGAGGAAAGTGCGATACAGCGACGACTACCTGTACGATGTGGACTCCATCGAGAACGAGAAGATCCTGGACAAGAAAGAGTGGCTCCCGGACGGGCCCAAGGAAGAGGACGATGACGAGTGGTGCCCCAAGAAACGGCGAAAAGTCTCTCGCAAGGAGCCCCCCGTTATCATCAAGTACATCATCATTAACAGGTTTAAAGGGGAGAAGCATATGCTGGTGAAGCTCAGCAAAGTGGATGCCAACGAGACAACTGTTACCCTCAACGAGGAGCTGCTCAGCAAATACGAGAAGCTGGCCCCACTGAAGGGCTTCTGGCAAGAGAGGCAGCAGAGCCGGCTGGATTTGCTCAGATCGTCTCTCTACCACAAGCAGAATTTCTATCTTAACGGCTCAGATGCTTCGTTCCTCCCTCACCCACGGAAGCGAAAATGCAAGCTAGCAAACAGGCACCGGATTCAAAGAATTAAAGCCATCGAGCAATCAGTGAACAAGCTGGGCTCTTGCTCCTCTGATCACAAGCAGCCTTGCAGCAGTAAAGAGGACGCGGGCCTGAAAGGGCTGCCGGCGTTAGCCATCGCCACCCCCAGCTGTGCCAACGGATTACACGTGAATGACATCACGGGCATCGCCGGCGTGAAATGCAAATCGCAGGAACGGGAGCACAAGGGGACGGAGAGGAAAGTGCTCCGCAGAATCAAATTCAAAAGTGAAGCCAGGTTGAAGTGCAAGAAGATCAAAGCTGCTACCACTACAGCGGAGGGCTCCCCGGCGCTGGAAAACCAGGACTCTGCAGCGCGTCTGAAGGACGAAAACGTTCCTTGTGCTTCAGACAGCTCCCATCTCCCGGAGTGCCACGAGGATAAGGTTGCTAAAAATTCTCCTTTCTTCCCATCCCCCTCCTCTTCAGACAAGCCTCTGCCATCTGCTAATATCACCACCAATGTACCCCTGATCCCCGGAGGGTATCTGCAGACGTTGTTAGATGCTTCTGATTTGTCGAGCAACACTGGTATCTCATACTTCG